GAACCAAAGATCTGCCTGTAGACAATGTTCTGGGCGTAGACCCCATCCTCCTCCTCCAGCTTTGGGTACTCGACCAGCGCCTTGAATCTTGATCTTGAAGTAACTCGCGACATCGCAACGTACAGCTGCCCGTGGGAAAAGCAAGGCGTAGCAAGATACAGCCCCAAGTACTGCACCGTTTGTCCTTGCGCCTTGTTAATCGTCATCGCAAAGGCCGGTTGGACAGGAAACTGCTTGCGTCTCAAATGAAACGGAAAGCTCCGAATGTCTCCGTCACTGATGAAAACAATGCGGGGAATTAACACATGTTGCCCTTGTCGCTCACCTGTCATGATTGTGGCGTGGATGACATGTAACTTGAGGTCCACAATTCGAAGCCGTGTTTTATTGCACAGCCCTAGTTCTGGATTCAGGTTCCGCATCATAATTATAGGCATTCCTACCTTGAGGGTCAACTTGTGGGGAGGCATTCCACTGATATTCATCGAGTGAAGTACCTCCTGCTCGAAGAAATTGCCGTCACCGTCGTCTTGTACAGAATCGGAAGACATGTATTCCCGCGCCTGTCCAGTTAATCGAGCGGTCACCGCTTCATTGATGCGGTGCACGATTGCGTTCGTGGTCGTGAGGATCGTACGGTTAGCGAAATATTCATCGGTAGCAACTTCGGGGTTGTTAATCTCGCCATACATCTCGTCGATGATCCGATCCATGCCTCTTGGAATAACACCAGGACGAATTTCCTGGTCCTCATCCTCAGGCACAGGTGGATTCTCAATCAGCATATCGCGCGGGATCTTCATGTAATCTCTTCCTAGGGAAGGAGTTACGTCATGCCTTCCCTCCCTGACTTGCAGCAGGAACTCGGAAAATGCAGCCATTTCCTCAGCCGTGTCTGCAGTATCAGCTGTGCGCACTCGCATGTTTTCCGTAAGACGGAAATGTATGGAATTGGGGCCACAGCCTAGACGACTTGAGGCAAGCGTCAATTGTCTCTACGGGTGTTCCATTCTTAACGACCGGGAGAATGCTGGCGGAGAGTGTCGCCTGAGTACTAATGTTCGCCCAAAAAGACTCAGTATCACGGTCTAGTGTTCCCCGAGGGTGCGGTCGACTTCCTCCAATCGGGAGGAGGGGCAAGAGGGTCTGCGCTGGGTGGAAGTGGACATGGATGATAAGGAGATGCACAGAGTTGGCAATCCTTTCAGATACAGCGAGCAGAGCTCCACTTTCAGTTGCAGAGATGAGTATGAAATGCAGAATAGTAATTACAATTCGACACAGAAGTATTAAGTTTGTTATATACTCCCATTA